ACACAGCCAGACGCTCTTGTTATTTCTCTTGGCTAGTGAAGGGGAGGATGGAGGTCTGGGCGTACACACTCCACTCACCTCCTTCACCCACTCGGACCCGCGTGCGGTGAGTGCTCAAGTACCTGCCCAGATAATGAGTATATTGAATGATTAGGTGAGTCAACACTGGAGGCGGAACTCATCGGGCGAGTCAACAGGACCCATCTCCCATGGCACCGCCTCGTGTTCCCGGCCCACTCCGTAACCCGCGCCAGTTTTTCCCACTTGGTCCTGCCTCCAGCGGTCTTCTTAACGTGCGCTCCTCTCCGCTCGAGGATGTGGAGGGCCCCTGCTCCCTCCTGTGGTTTGGTAAAAGGCCCTGCTCGCTCCTGTGGTTCGGTAAAAGGCCCCTCCTCGCTCCTGTGGTTTGGTAAAGGGCCCTGCTCGCTCCTGTGGTTCGGTAAAAGGCCCCTCCTCGCTCCTGTGGTTTGGTAAAGGGCCCTGCTCGCTCCTGTGGTTCGGTAAAAGGCCCTGCTCGCTCCTGTGGTATGGTGAAAGGCCCTCCTGCTCTCTGATGTGGTTAGGTAAAAGTATCTGCTCTGCTGTGGCTCGGTAAAGATTTCTACTCTGATGTGGTTCGGTAAGGGCCATGTTCTCTGCTGTGGCTAGATAAAGGGTCCTGATCTATGCTGTGGTTTTGAAAAAGAGCCCTATCTGCTCTCTGCTGGAGATAGGTAAAGGTCTCTGCTCTTTGCTGTGGTTAGGTAAAGGGCCCTGCTCTCTCTTGTAGTTAGGTGGAAGACCCTGCTGTGGTGGAAGATGAAGGGCCCTCTCCTCCTTAAATAAAAATGGTATTCTCCTGTAATCACAGGGTGCATATGCAATAAGTCGCCACCTTTACATTTCCAGATTTGAATACCACACACAAATACCTCGAGCTGCAATAAGAGAAGTTATTCATTGTCCCTTGCTACTCTTTATTACCCAGGCACACACTCTTGCCTTACTCGCATTTCTACTGCCTCGTCGTTCATATAACTTTTACTCCATTCCACTTCCCGATATTATTTGGTTTTATATTTGTGATCTTTATAAAGCTAACATTTCCCGCGCTGCCGCGGCTGCCGTCCACAGATGCCTGAGCTGCGCGAGCAGGTGTGCGCGGCAGGGCCATCACCGTGAGTGGTGAATTATTTACTTATCACCAAAAATCTAAGCCAGAATACCAAATATGCAAAGCACCCACACCTATGGGGTCGTCAGACGCCGCGTTTGTATGGGGTCGTCAGACGCCGCGTTTGTATGGGGTCGTCAGACGCCGCGTTTGTATGGGGTCGTCAGACGCCGAGCATGTATGGGGGACGTCAGACGCCGAGCATGTATGGGGTCGTCAGACGCCGAGCATGTATGGGGTCGTCAGACGCCGAGCATGTATGGGGGACGTCAGACGCCGAGCATGTATGGGGGACGTCAGACGCCGAGCATGAAAGGGGACGACAAATGTACTTGTTTGCTCAAGTACAGGTTGATGGCCAATCTCCGAGGAAGAACTGATTGTCCTCCTGCGATGCTCAATATAAGCCTAAGTGAAGAGTAAGGTCCAGCAGGTCCCTTCCACTCTCCAGTATGTTCACTACAATATCCTGGTTCTCTTACTTCCCGCTCTCACATATTTCGACGCATTTACATATATGCACCATCGAACTGAGAAACAAATACACATATTCCCCCACCGAGGCAGAATCATTGTATCCTATCGACTCCATTTTCAAGATTTTTTCGCCTCTGATTCCTGGTTAATCTTACTAGGTGAAAATGTTCACTCTCAGGGTTCGAGGGTAAAAGTTACTTTGTTACTGTGGGGTCATTAGCAGTCAGCGGGATGGCTAAATAGCCGCGGCTTTGACCGCAAGTCGGTGATTATCCCTCGTTCATTTGTCTGCTAATGGGCAACAATCTGGAGGATTTGCCAGCGACTTGACCGATTTTTTCTGTTGTGATTGGAGGCTGTGGACATTGAGTCTGTGTTGTAGACTTTTTGGGACAGAATATTCCTGCCCGAGCCATAAGCCTTTGGCTGTGTGTGTGTGTGTGTGTGTGTGTGTGTGTGTGTGTGTGTGTGTGTGTGTGTGTGTGTGTGTGTGTTCACCAAGTTGTGCTTGCGGGGGTTGAGCTCTGCTCTTTCGGCCCGCCTCTCAACTGTCAATCAACTGTAACTAACTATTCCCCCCCCCCCCCAAAACACACACACCCAGGAAGCAACCCATAACAACTGTTTAACTCCCAGGTACCTATGTACTGCTAGGTAACAGGGGCATCAGGGTGGAAAAAACTGCCCATTTTGTTTGTCATCACCGGGGATTGAACCCGAACCCTAGGATTACGAGTTCAGAGCGTTGTCCATTCAGCTATCAGGTATGTATGTGTGTGTGTGTGTGTGCCATTCGTGTCACGTTCACTTAGGTAATCTTAAAATGACAAAAGTGAAGAGGTTGTAGTTTTGGTGGTGGTGTTGTGGGGGTGTAGTGGTGGTTGTGGTGGTGGTGTTATGGGGGTGTAGTGGTGGTGGTGGCGGTGTTGTGGGGGTGTAGTGGTGGTTGTGGCGGTGTTGTGGGGGTGTAGTGGTGGTTGTGGCGGTGTTGTGGGGGTGTGGTGGTGGCGGGGATCTTCAGGGCGCCACATCACATATTCATGGTGGTTCGGGTTATGCATAAGATTACCCTCAGCCCAACATTTACCTGGGCGCCGCCCGCTGGCCTGCCGCTCCTCCTCTTATTGACACTTCCATTCCCACCTGTTACATCAAGACAAGTGCTAAGGTCTGTGACCTAGCGTCTGTGGTGGCGCCTCAGTCGTTCATTTCAGCAGCAACTTTCCTCGCCAACTTTCCACCTCCTGACCGCTATTCCTAGGGAGGAGGGACTAGGCGTCAATCACTGCTGTGTGTGTGACCACTCTTGCCGGCCCCTGTGTTGAGGTAGCACCCAAGTTCCCACACGAACTAAGGTGTGTGAGTTCGTGAGAGTAGCAAGAGTGAAGACGACCGCGGGCTGCTGAGAATGACTGCACGATGCCCCGGAGAGATGGGAGACTGCACTTGATGAGACACAACTTGAACATTCAGAAATTAATGGAAGTAAAAGATAGCAGGAACCTTTTGCAACTCCATATACTTCATAACTCTTCATCAAGAACTATGAAAAACCACTGTCGCAGGCCCTTCACATTTTTTTGGAGACAAAGCTTAGATACTGGCGTTATCCCTGACATACTAAAAACAACAGAGATAGCACCACTCCATAAAGGAGGAAATAAAGCAGAGGGAAAAAAATTACAGACCGATAGCACTAACATCACACACCATAAAAATCTTTGAAAGATTGCTAAGGAGTAAGATCACAAAATACATGGAATCACAGCTTCCATGTAAGGCTGAGGAGACCTATGACTGCAGATAAACAATACCAGTAGAAATCTAAATTTGTCAGCCGATTATATATCTTCAGTAGCATTATACTAAGGAGATTACAGCTGACTATAGCAACAGATGTTAATATCATCATTTAAAGCTGAAGATGAGTTCATGAGGCCTCAGTGGCAAATCAGTGAACAGTAGCCTAAACAGCTACAAGTCACTGCGACCAATGTCACTGACTCCATTACAGTCTCAGAGCCATACTTGACTTTAATGACTGACTATTCAATCCTCTGAATCAACTAACTAAATTAAACCCCAATTAATCTTCGACTGATTTTGATACATTTATTATTTATTCAAGATGTATTCCATGGGCCTCAGTGTATATATATTAGTGACCAGTTACCTGAACAAGCTTCAAGTTATTATAACTAATGTCACTGATCTCACTGCTGTCCCTGAATCATACTTGACTGTAGTATTTGTCCACATTCAGTCCTCTGGATTAAATAATATGTACTTAGGCTAGGATTTTAGCCTCTCAAGAGGTAACAGGGAAATGAAATGGCATTGGACTTCTAACACCTGCAACTCGAGTACGGGACATCCGTCCTGTACGAACAGACGCACAAATGTCTGATTACTAATTATTGACATCAAATTAATCTAATAATTCGAAGGAGGAGTATTGGTGTTCGGTGTTTGAGTGGAAAATACTTGAGGGGCTGGTCCCAAACTTGCACACAGAAATAACACATGAGACCAGAAGGCATGGCAGGATGTGCAGAATATCCCCTTTGAAGAGCGATAGGTACCCTGAGATGCAATAGGTATTCTGAGAGAGAACCCTATCAACATCAGAGGCCCGAGACTGTTCAACACGATTCCTCTACACATAAGAGGCATAACTGGCCGACCCCTCACAGTGTTCAAGAGAGAACTCGATAAACACCTCCAAAGGATACCTGATCAACCAGGCTGTGATTCATACGTCAGGCTGCGAGCAGTCACGTTCAGCAGCCTGGTTGACCAGACCAGCAACGAGGAGGCCTGGTCGAGGACCGGGTCGCGGGGACACTAAGCCCCGAAACTATCACAAGGTAACCACAAAGTAAGGTGGTGATGGTAAGATATTGGTAAATATCAGCTGGGGACGATAAAGGTGGGAGATGGCGTGTGGTAGTGATGTACAGAACAGTAAGAGTCGAGATAGAGAGCAGGGGCCAGATTCACGAAGCAGTTACGCATGTACTTACGAACATGTACATCTCTCCTCAAAGTTTCACAGCTTTGGTTACACTTATTAAACAGTTTACAAGCATGAAAACTTCCCACTCAACTGTTATTGTTATAAAGAGCTTCCTGGTGCTTCGGAGCTCATTAACTGTTTAATAATTGTAAACAAAGCCGACAAAGATTGAGTAAAGATGTACAGGTTCGAAAGTGCTTGCGTAACTGCTTCGTGAATCTGGTTTCAGATTGTTATACTCAGAGAGAGCAGGAGTTCAGTGAGAGCAACAACTGTCAGGAGACGGGTTCCTGGGGCGGCCACTAGGGCTCGTCTCCATCACCCAGCTACTCCACCGTCAATGTAAACACACGCTCAGGATTCCACAGAATACGCACTTGAACACGCCAGTCTTCCGATACTCCTCGGCCTCTTCTTCCCCTCGGCCTCTTCTTCCCCTCGGCCTCTTCTTCCCCTCGGCCTCTTCTTCCCCTCGGCCTCTTCTTCCCCTCGGCCTCTTCTTCCCCTCGGCCTCTTGTTCCCCTCGGCCTCTTCTTCCCCTCGGCCTCTTCTTCCCCTCGGCCTCTTCTTCCCCTCGGCCTCTTCTTCCCCTCGGCCTCTTGTTCCCCTCGGCCTCTTGTTCCCCTCGGCCTCTTGTTCCCCTCGGCCTCTTGTTCCCCTCGGCCTCTTCTCCCCCTCGGCCTCTTCTCCCCCTCGGCCTCTTCTCCCCCTCGGCCTCTTGTTCCCCTCGGCCTCTTGTTCCCCTCGGCCTCTTCTTCCCCTCGGCCTCTTCTTCCCCTCGGCCTCTTCTCCCCCTCGGCCTCTTCTCCCCCTCGGCCTCTTCTTCCCCTCGGCCTCTTCTCCCCCTCGGCCTCTTCTCCCCCTCGGCCTCTTCTCCCCCTCGGCCTCTTCTCCCCCTCGGCCTCTACGCAT